ATTCTATGTGTAATACAGAACTCAGACCCCTCAATACTATTTTGTATAAACGTTCGGAAAGATAAATAAGTAAACTCCTAAACAGCTGATCATCATACACTCACTTGTCTTCCACAAATTTTGCACTGTGGTAATATTTTGCACTATCTTTTATATAATTATCTCAATTTAAATGTTAAATTATCTTTAGATTTACATATTGAATATGATTTAAAATGATTAATCTGAAAATGTTAATAGTGCCGTCTTCTCTGAATAATTCGTTAAAGTTGTAAAGTGAATATTGATGATATTGTAAATAGAACCCATACGTGACCTGCGGTTGACCTTTCCTTCTTCAAAGTTTGCTTCACACAGCCATACACTCAAGCAAACGGATAGAAAAATGATCTTCATGCATCCATCACGTACTGCAGGCGACTAAACTATAAAGCGAGAAATCTGAAAATGCGTAATAATTAATTGAATATATGAGTTTATTTCATTTGAAATCACCGTATACATTACATCCAGTGATTTAGATGACGTTACTGGATTTCTGATAAAAGACGAATAAAAAGTTAAACATTGATAAATATTTAGCTTTTATATTGAACTATGGTTATGCTTATACATTATTAAGTAATTTGGATGAAGACAAGCAGAAATCAATAATTTCAAGTTTGAGGATAGATAATAAAAACTAACTTATTTCCCAAAAATCCTAAAAATGACAACTAAATCTTTGTTTATGTATACATGTATAAAGTGATTAAGTTTCATTTTTCATTTAACGTTTCTCAACAATGTCCTATAAAATGAAAAAAAAAATTGGACAGATTTATAAGTAGGTGGCAAAAAGAAAGAAATTTTAACATTATAGAAAGTCTACAATTTCGTAAAATTAGAAATTTGATATATGCCCATCTACAACAAAATAAGTTCAAAAATACATACCAAAATATGAATCCAATGATTGTTTGTTCCATCTGTACTTAAGAGACATTTTTCCTAAATCATTTAGTTTAATATTATTTTAATGCGATAGCAATTATTTCCTTTTTTCTTTTTAAAGTTTTCATTTTAAAATTTACAATAAAGATATTTATAGAATTCTTATAGTAGAAAACACTTTGAAATTCATTTTTGAAACTTAGTTAAGAATGTGAATATTTTTTTTTTTACCGTGGAATTATTGTTGGCCATATTGGTGTAAAAATGGCAAGAATAAACAGTGGGGGTGGTTGACTCAATTCAAAGATCCAATAAAATCGAGAAATAAGACCTTGGTATTTAAGCCCGTTTGCTAAACAATTATCTCTGCGTCCAGTTCATTGTGGCATGTTTTAGTGCATTTTACATTTGCCGTGCCATTGTAACTTTTTCTCAAAACAATTCCAAGAATATAATTGGGAGTTATGCCTAACTTTACAAATACTATTTAAGTAGTTTGAGCTTTTCTATGGAGAGCATGTAATCAATTTAATTGTTTTATCGAAATACCCAAGTTTTCCAATTAATATACCACTTTTTCGGGACTTTATTGGAAGGCATCGATATTGACGCGGGGAGCAATAAACAAAATTGAAAGCAATTCGAAACTATCTGATACCAATCATTAAATCAAACGACCCAAGCAAAACTTTAGGAAAGCATAAATCATTATTTATTATAGAAACGCAACTAGATCAATTTCAGCCACTTATAATAACCCATATTTTCCTTGACAAATTACCACATAATTATTTCGAGTGATGTAGTAAAAACAGGGGAAATAGCGGGATCAAAGACCACCTCCCGGTTAATCATATACCTCGCAAGCTATCATAAAGCACGAAAAGTGGACGGTACCTTAATGTCGCAATTATGACGTCATCGCATTAGCAAGTTGCGCTGGCGGAGTTACATCTGATAGGGTAGCCATTTTGTTAATCACATTGGTGTTGATAAAATCTGGCAAAGCACTTTAAAATGATGACACTTATGCGATCTATGTAAACAATATTTGAAAGACTTGTCTGAAAGTTCAATGGAGAATTACTCATTGATATTAATAACCAGCAATGAGTTTAATAGGATCTGAAAAACAAACACACCTTAGAAACTTCCCGTGTATTATCGAGTGTTAGGATACTGATGCTTTTTTAATTGTCATGATAGAAGTAATTTTGATATCCAATTATTAAAAAAAAAAACTCTTATTTCTATGTACACTCCCTCCTTTCTCCCCAACAACATTTAAACATGTTTTGTAAGACTGTCAAAAATGTTTCATAAATATTACCCTTTCAATTTTTTACAATACCAGATCTTTATTTTTAATCTAACCAAAGCCTATGAAAACTAATATTATTAATTCTTTTTCTTTTTTTTTTTAAAAAAAAAGCTCATTAAGTTCAAACATTATTTTTAATTTACATAATGATAAAATGGAGAAATTAGTACACAAGAATAGCATTTGTCAGAAATACAATTTTAATGCAAATTGAACAGTATACACACCAGTTTAGGTTAAACGGAGACTGATACGCAGCATCATTAACAGAAGTTTATTCCCTGTTTTGATACCACATAAAAAGAATCTTTTCTCCTTTCAATTATAAAATGTTTTAAATGAAGGCTGCATTTATCAAATTAAAGCATTTCTTAAAAAAATGTTCTCCTCCTAACTTCCTGTATTAAATTTTTTGAAGAGGTTATGTGAAGGTAACGAACAGTTATGATCATGCTCAATAGTCCAATAAAACAACACAAACTGAGAGCAGATCGAGCAAATACGGTACTATTAAACATCAAAAGTGGGATCAGATGCCGTGGAAGAATAAGCACCCCCTTCCTGTCGACTGGTCACATGTTCCTGAAGCCATTTTGTCTTGAGTAATCCGTAGAAAATTTAAGTATGAAAAAAATCTTACTATTTGTGTGCAATACGTCAGTCAAAATTCTATCTAACGACAGGTTTGAATTGAAAACAAGGTCAAAGTATCGAACATATAATTTGCGAAATGTTGACTTTAAATGACTACGTTGGTACCCTTGTAACATCAAATTATTTGACAGTTAATCAGTTTAAAAATACTTCTCACGCAGAACATGCGTTCCGGATCAACTCGGAGACATAAACAACATATGCAGCTGTTAAAGATATATTGGTACTTAATGAGGGAAGCTGAAAATAAAAAAGTTGAAAACATCAAGTTTATCATATAACTTAGTAGTTTGTTTGCCATCAATATCTTTTCTCTAGCTGAATATCAAAACATGAAAAAAGATGCCCGACTCTTGGGGGGGGGGGGGGGGAGGGGGATTATATGATTTTTGAGTTCATTAGGATATACATACATCTAATCAACGTATGAATTAAAGAAAAAAGAAAATCACAGATTTTAGCACCAAATATATTCAATGATATTATTTTGTTGTCCATATTTTGAAAACCATATGCTTAAAGGAGGATGAATTTAAGATGACACTTCGTCTGTTTTAGAAATGGTAAAAATTAGGAAAACAGAGTATTCTAAAAGTTCTTACTAGAATATTTGTAGAAACATGGAATATTTATTTTTGTAAGGCACTTTTTTGAATTGAAAGTTCTATTTAGAGTCTCACGATTAACCGTATCCAGTTTTAATGGTAGTGTCATATGTAAATGATTTACATAACAGATTAGTATAAATTTAATGGAATAATGTAGACATTCAAGTTTGAGTTCACTAAAGATTCTGAAATTGCTTCGTCGGAATGAATAAAAAAAACTGTCATCAAAGTGTTAAATCCGGTAGAGATCACTCATTCTCTTTAATCCAAAACAAATTATACCTGTTGAAAAAGCGGATATAGGAATTAATCACGAATGATTTGTAACCAACAGTTATTAATCTGCAAACTGTGATTTGCCAGGAGCATTTTGGTCGATCAAAGAATAACGGTGAAAATTGATATCCGAAATCTTTCGGATTTATCCAACGCAATGCGGCATAACAGTTATTTAAGTCAAACGTATTGATAATTTCAAATTCAGATGTTTTAATTACTTCTTTTTATCTTATATACCAGAAAAAAACACACCGATACATGCTTTCTTTAATTTGCCAAGAACTCCCTTGGAAATATGAAATATCCATCCTCTATCTAGGGAATGCAATAAATGGATTGTTTTTTCCTGTATTCATTTAAGATTATGAACTTCTGTAACATAACGCTTTAGGGGACACTAGAGTAAATATTTATGGTTCTTAACATTGTGACAAATGAGCGTGACGGAGCCGATGAAATATTATCGGAGAGTCAAAGCTCCACATCAATACTAAAAGTGAGACCACTTTCCAGCCAGCTTCTATTTCACTATCTTTTCTCTCAGTCATGGCGTTTTCTCAATACTTTCTGCAATGTACAAACTCAAAAGAGCCGTGTGAACATTTCGTGACATCGGATCAAAATACGTTTGCATTTTGCTGCATCTTCTGTACAGCCAGTCTTGTGACTTAACAGCTAACTGATTTTTTAAAAAAAAATCATTTCATGTCGATGTTGGGAGTTAATGAATAAGATTATTCCTTTTATCACACATCAAATGTAAATAGACCATGACCAACTTTAAGTAATTTGCTTATTTTTAAAGAATACATATAAATATATGTGCCTCTTGTAGGAATTTAGAAAAACAGAAAGAAGAAAAAAGTCAAATGAATAGAATATTCAGGAATCTTACATATTAAATTAAGGATCATATCAAGAACACACCCCATTAGTTACACCATTATTCACATCTTTGCAGTGATACGCCAGTCGCTCGTCTCGTCCTTTCCCTTTTTGGAGAATTAAAAGAAAAAGGTGATCAAATTTCAAATCTTTTTTTCAATATCCGACCGTTTCTTACCTGTACATATCCAAATATAGAAACTGTTGAGGGTGGAGTTATTCGATTATTGGTTGAATCTAATTTATGTATTAATTATTCAAATGCTCTATGATTCTCCTATAGTTACGTTGTAACTTTTGTTTTCAGAGACCAGACTATCAGAAAAAGCAGTGTGTGACGTCACAGACAAAACGTGGGAGCTGAGAATAGTGTTGTATAAACCTTGGTACACATTGATACCAAACATTTTGAAAAAATCAGGGGACTAGGAAATTGGGGATGGTTTAAACGCTATAAATAGAAATAAAGAATTGTGTGAAACACTTTCGAAAAGCAGTGGACGAGTACTTGTGTTCAAATTTTATTTTCAATCAAGGAAAACACGAATTTAATAGAATACTACCTCAGATTTCAGTAAAGGTAAGTATTTTAAATAACACGTATAATGAAAAATAGAAATTTAAACGTTTTTTTTAAATGTTAATATACATATTTTGATATTTCTTAAACCGCATTAGGACACTTCGGCGGTATTTTCAATAAAACAAGGAAATAATTTTAAATCACAAACCTTGAAATCGAACATCAAATTGGAAAGAACCTATCGTCTATTCTTTTTTGCATGCTTTACGATTATAATTTAATAAAATAAATAAATGCTAAAACAAGAACTTTGGTATTGTCCCCTATATCCCGATCCTTTAGGGAAATAAAAGCAAAAATATTGTCTAACATAGTATACAGTACGAAAAACCATATTTTCCAGATTCTCTTTGTAAAGCATCGCCTAAAGTGACAATATAATAAAATATAGACATGTGATAGACAAAATAACTGGTGATAATTTACTCGCTGTTCACTCCAAACACATCAGATGCAAGTGATAACTGATTCTATATATCAATAACCTAGGAGACCAATATATGCTAAACCATTCTCTAGCTCTCCTCAGAAAGACGTACAATGCTCTTGCATCATTCAATCTGATGAAAATAAAATTAGGTAAGCTAATTGTATTAAATTGATTTATTTAGATTAATGTCGACAATATGACCTTTTTTTTAAATTAAGGTACTGTCTTTTTTTTTATAAAAGTAATCTAGAATAAAACATACAAGCATGACTAAATGAACAATAAATCTAAATCCTAAAGTTGATCATGAATTTATTTAAGAAGAAAAACAGGCGCGAAAAGTTGCTTCAAAATTGTTTTCAAATCGAACTTGGAATGGAAACCTATCGAATTACGATTATATTATATACAATTAATTTGTAGTGATGGCTGTATCATATGTATAGCATGCACAGGGATTCCATATGAAATTTGTTTGGATAACCTCTATTATTAAGCAAAGATTACCATGTCAATTTATTTTAAAGTGATCTAGTGACATATATAACTCCTCAAAGGGACATATACAGAATCCTTAAGCAAAACTTTATATTTGAAAATTACACTAATAGGTTAGAAAAATACTTGTAAAGTTTCGTACATCAAGTGGCATGGCATGGGGTACCTCCTTCTAGAAGACTTTGTACACTGTATCAATGCTCAGATAGCTAATGAATTTCACTTTATCTTTGAAGGTGAACCATTTTCGTTGAAGTAAAAAAAATGACTGGGCAATCATAATTGAAACACCAAAGTTAATTGAATCAAAAGATACATGTCATCAAAAAAGCAAAAACAATGCCTTTAAGAAAAAACTTTATACTATGCCACCCTTTGTCGGTTTTTTACTTTTCTGTTATATATCATACTATAGTTTATATAATGTATATGATTTATATTGTATTTCGGTTTGAGTGATTTGTCTGCATTGAACTGGCCCTGTAATGTAAAAAATTAATAAATGAACAGTGGTATACTAAATTTTATCCAAATTACTAATCTTTTTGGGTAGCAATAATGATGGATATTTTATACCTATAAACAACTAGCAATCCCAATACATATTATTAAAAAATGAAATCTGAAACATTAGATGGAAACAAAGTTTTATAAATTATGAAAAGTGAGTTCAAATGAATCCCGTTTCATGTTCATTTCTTTGCAAAATATACGGTTTTGTTAAACAATCATTACAATAAATATGTCGATTTTCCATGAAAGGTAACACCTTTTGAATAAAATACGATCTCTTCATTTGTATTCTTTGACAATGTCAATGATCTAATTATCAACAGATCACATTTTATTGCACAATTTATCAACTATTATCTGTTCATCATGCTCTTTAAAAAGTAAAGTGTTGAATGTCTCATGAGGTTAGAAGCATGAACTAGCTTTTTTATTTTGTTTAAACGGATAACATATGTCAAGTCCACATCTGATTTAAACAATGTGATTTTGATCCCTATAAAGTGTCATCTGACATACAAAAATCAATATCCTTTCAAGAAATCAGTACGGACATGATACGAGTAATTGATACTCTTTCGTAACTTTATGTGTGTTTTCCAGTTTCCTATCATATGCAGGTCTTTCAACAAACTGTTGGAATTTCGATGGACACTAATTGTTCTCATTTTTAGCCGACCTCTTTTTTATATTCTATGAAGTAGAATTAATTCAAAAATTTCTACACTGTACGAAGAAATACTTGCTGTGAACTTCAATTCGACATTCATATATATCGACGACATTTTATCAAATTATAATTGTTACTTCCATTCATATGTCGACTCGAGTTTTCCCAGTGATCTCGAAAAAAGAACAACACAGAGTCTAAAACATTTGTTTCATATTTGGATATTTTATTTTTCGTCTATAGACGATAAGGGACAACGAACAACTCAACTGTATGACAAACGTGATGACTTCAGCTTTTCCATCGTCAACGGTCCTTAACTTATTTATGCAGTAATATCCCAACATTACCTGCATATAGTTGATATGTATCTAAACTGATTCGATACTGAAGAGCATGATCTGAGAACGATCAAGTTTTAAACTGAGGGAGGCTACTGAAGTTGATATTACAGGGATTTCAACAACCTCCTTTAAAGTTAGCATTTCGTAAATTATAATGTAGGTATATTGTTAGCAAATACAACCTATCATTGGGTCGTATTTTGACTGACATACAAATTGTTAGGCCGTTACTTTCACTGAATTGGCTAAAGATTTTTTTGTTTGCCCGATCATGAAAAGGAGCACGTGACCGGTCGACAGGAGATGCTTACTCCTCCGTGGCACTTGATCCCACATCTGATGTCTTTAGAGCTCTGTGTTTGCTCTGCTTCAAATTTGTAATGTTTTAATGGTCATTTGAGCTTGATCACTGTTCGTTATCTTCATATTTCATACCAATTGCTAGGCCTTTGTTTTCCTGCAAAATTTAACTACGGAATATTCCGTTTACCTGATCAATGCACAGGTCTCACGGCGGGTGTGAATGATTGACAGGGGGTGCTTACACTTCCTAGGCACCTGCTCCCACCTCTGAAATTTCCAGAGGTCCTTGTTTTATGTCCTTTTTCTAGATTTGTATCGTTTGTATTCTTTCATTTTTGAGATTGATATCTTTACTTTTTTTCATTACTTTAAACTGAAATGAGTAGATAATGAACAGCTCTTGCGTAACAAATCAACTGGGAGACATAAACTCCATATCCAGGTGATAAGAGTATATTGCTACATAAATAAGGGAAGCTGAAGAAAAACGATTTTTGTTAGGTTACCATTAACGTCTTTTTCTAGCAAAATATCCAAATATGAAACAGATGTGTCAGACTATGTGGTATCTTTATTTGGAGTTTTGATGGATATATCGAATCAAGGCCACAGCAAGAAATTTCTTCTTTTCATGTAGAAGTTTTTGAATGATTTCTGTTTCATATAAATACAAAATGAGGTCTGATAGTAACGGGGCGGAATAAGAATCCATGAGAATTCCGACAGATTATTGGAAGATCTGATCTCCACAAACTTCATAAATATTGTCAATCAGAAACTCAGGCATCTTTTTAATATCAACTTGGGTACTTTTGTGTACAATCAGAAAATTTAGCAATATAATTTTTCAAATGACCATATTAATAAAGTGATTTTTCAATCTACTTTAAAATACAATTGCAACTTCATGACTTAGTGGGTATTTTTAACTCAATAAATTTTAAAAATATTGATTAAAATAAAATAAATTTAGGATCTTAGTTTCTGCCCATGTGTACTACCCAGAAGATGTCATAATTAAAAATGCATCATCAATCAAACTCAGTCTCGGGCTGTATAACACTATATCTGCATTTATGCAATGTCTAATCTTTATGACAATGAAATTGATGAAAAGCTCACATATGTGTCGTAAGTATCACTCTTTTATAGAACTCGCAAAAAATAACGATTAAGTAACGCTACTTATCTAATTAGCCCGACTGAATGGAGCGCATATTCTCCTATTTTGCTCTGTGATTTGTGACATTTTGACATATTATCCAATGATACACGACAAAATTTTAGATATTTGATGTTGTTCCTGACTCATGACTGAGACATGATATAACCCTTGACGTCCACAGGCACTTGTTTCTGTAATAAAAGTTTATCCCATAGTAAATTATACTATTGGGTAAACTTATATTACAGAAAGAAGTGCCTGCAGTTAATTCCTAGGAAAAAAAGAATAAAGTATAGTTTTAAAAAGAAAACAGGAGACAAGTTATACCAGTATAAGATTCTTTTGGCAACATAATTGGTATTCGTTGAATATTACACAATATAACTGCAGAATATTTTCAAAATCTTTATAGAATCAATTTTGTGCAAAAGTGATTTCTTTATTTACAAAGAAAAAACAATGTGTATAATGCAAGTGCTTCAAATTTTTAGACCACATTTTGGCTAAAAATATCTATGTGATTTACTCAAAATATTCAATTAGTGTATATTAAAATGACAAAAAATAATATTAACCTAACAATATCTTGCTATAATAATGCCACTATTAATATAATAGTTTGTTTTTTTCATTTTCAGATAGAAGATGGTTAAAGTCGTGTTGGTGACAGTGTTGTTGACATTATGTGTGATAGTGGACTGTTTCCCCCAAAGTAACACAAAAATACGACAAAAACGAGGATTCAGACAGAGCATTGTGGACAGAATGGGACACGGATTTGGAAAAAGAGCGAACACAGATATATACGACACGTATCTCACAAAAACACGGTAAGTACCTATACCACTGGATTATTTAACACGAAATCCAGTTGTATCGATAATAAATTCCTTTCATTTTATTGTGTTAATATCCTGTGAAAGGACCTAAAATCATTTAAGCATTCGTCACTGAAGTATCATTTAAGCCTTTATTGTACCCCTTTGAAATGAATTCGATAAATGAGATTTTATTGAATTAACCATATTGAGACGTGAATTACATAGAAAAACAAAAGATTTCGTTACAAAAGTAACATCAAATGATCGGACCTCGCTGTTCAGTATCTGATAAATACTATTGATTTCAAATATGTACAACTGTCAACTTAAAGTTCATAACATTTTAAATCATCAATATTCTCTTGGTTTCGATTTGATTAAACCATTAATACTATCCATCCAAGATGAAAGGTCCGACAATGAACTCATTCTGATAAAGAAACAATTTTCTCGTTCTTAAGAAAATTGTTTTGATCTGTGTTTCCACCAGTTCACATCCCAAAGGTCATACATGAAGGACCAGGTTTTTAAAGTGCAGAAGAGATAATTTGAAAATAATGTGACATATTTATGAAACGTTTTTATAGATAACAGAAAGCAGTTTGAGATGCTTTAGCAAAAGACTTACATCATGGTTACTTAAGTATGATTTTGGCATATTGGATTTTATTATTGCTTTCTTTTTTCCGCAAAATTTGATATTCTAATGAAAGATCAAATCAATTTTTGTTTCATCTGAATTTCCGAGCTAAAATTGTCAACATAATGTTCTAGACTTAGCCAATGCTCTGATGTTAAAATGGATGTATGTAATTAGGTACTCAATAAGTGTAATATATCGGGATATTTTCTTTTTGTGTGGCACCAAACTCTTTAGGAGTAGGCCAGATCTCTATAATCACCATTGATAAAAGTGCAATCAATAACCATATATAATAAATATGATTGGACTATCTACAGTATTCGAGATATCAGTATTCGAGTTATCAAAGTTCAACTGTATATTATAAATATGATCCTATATTTAATTAACACACTACTGGGTGTGTTGTCTCTGTTCTTGGGAGTTTAAAAAATAAGAACGGCTCAATAAGATTTTCTTTTTCAACATAATACATTAGCAAACACATTATTAGAGTATATTCATTTGATATTTTGCTATCTAGCACTATTATATTTGGACTATATTATACCACAAAAATTACCCACATAGTTCTAAGAATTTACACTTATAATGGACGTGTCTGGCACGTTAGTCCACTCTTTATCATTTTATTGCTACAGGTAATTTTATCTAGCTGTTTATTAGTCACCGTTATTTTTATCTGCGATAAGGGCCGCCAATGAAATTTGACTTTTGCATTCTTTCATGTTTTGTGATGAAAGTTTTTTGAGGTTTTTTTTGTATTTCTATCAGGCACATTTCTTCGTTTGGTGTAAAATTAATGTTTTCCAGGTGTTTAGATAAAATTAAATGTCGTTGTATTAAATATCATTATAATAAAATGCATTTTCTGACTAAGAAAAAAAGGTATCTGAATTACGAGTCGGTTAAAATATCCACATTAGACAAACAAAAGTTATGTGATATATATAATGCAAAATATCACTAGATAGCCTCTTATCCTTCATATGTTTTGTAAGAGCAATAGTTTCCATTAAATATTTAAGGGCACTAATTTCAGTCCCTTCACCTGATTGATCCACTGAATTGTTTTTCAATATCCACATAAGGAGGCATAAACATCATCCTGATCCAATCAATTCGTTCTGTATTAATACCTAGATACGTACATCCTGATATGCCTTCTGCCACGTTTCAGGTAGTATTACCTCTATTGTGATGCAAATATTTAAGTTTCATCTGTGCTTAAGATCAAATGTAATGAAATGTTTCAATACTAGATGATTTATTCAAATGGGAACTGAATTGAAAAAGCTGATAAAACTCTGCTCTTTATTAAAATCAATTCGTTATTGCCTATACTTGTTATGGTCAAGAGTGAAAAAGATCAAGTGACGTGTTTATTATTAACCGAAGAACTTTCAAATCAAACTAACAAAATCTTTTTGTAATTTTTAATTAATTATTTATTACTTGGTTGAAAATTCATACTGAGCAACTAGTATTGTATTTTTTTAACTCCGAAAAAGTAATTTTGTTCATAATATCGAGTAGTGATACAAATTACTCAGTTCATAATGCATACAATTCTATATGGATTGCATATGTGGGTTTTTTTTTTTTTTTTTTTTTTTTTTTTTTTTTTTTTTGCTCTTAATTTCTAAGCTACACATGTACACTAAAAGAATTTTTTTTTAAAAAAAATTAAAATTCGGGAGGTTTGTAAGCATTATTGTTTCTTTATTAATATTCTCTTTTGATCAGCGGGATAACAAAGTTTTGCTGTGTGATGACATTATAAGTCACTTAACATTCTTTTGGAATATTAATATTGTAAGACAAAATCTTTTTAGCCGAGGATTAGACTATAAACTTTACACCTGACAATGATCTAGCATGAATATGTGTTATATTAAAGTCATGGTTGATAGTAATCTTTGGTCCAAGGTGTAAATGGGTGTTATAAAGATTTAATCACAGCAAATGTCAATTAACTTAACAGCATCAGCCCTACATGGGGGGTTTTACAGAAAATACAGCATAAAATTGCTCTTTCTTTGAAAAAAATGAGGGGGAAAAAACAACAACAATAAAAGCAAAAAGAAATGTCACAGGATTACGCAGAAAACGCTGCGAAACTTCCAGAATGAAAGTCTGAGAAATTGACTCAGTACACAGGCGTAGTTTGAAAATTTGATTATTCGTCAGGGAAATCTTAAATCTGAAACTGATCAACAACGATTCAAAAATACAAGTATATGCTATCCTTTGGTTAAAAATTATATCAAGACAAAAGGTTTAAAACAGTAAAGTAATTTTTGTGAAAAAAATATGTCACAAAAAATCTGTTAAAATCAAAAAGATCTGTAGCAATAAACGGTGTAGTTAGTTTTGAAATATCCGTTAAAAGCATGAATATTTGCTTTGTTTACTAAGCTATTTTTGTACTATTCCCTCTGTGCCTTATTAAGCTTCAATACGACTTTTTTGCGCTTCCCTAATGTATAATATGTACCTACTTAGCAAACTTAACAGCATATCTTCAACTATTTTGACTAGATAATTATAGGAGTGTAAAAACTTGTGCATAGGATTTGAAAAATTAACCCAAAAACTTTGCATTGTTTTGAACATATATATATATATATATATATATATATATATATATATATATATATATATATATATATATATATATATATATATATATATATATATATAGCTCATACATGTATACGAAATTGTTTTATCTGCAAGAATGTAAAATGCATGACCATCTGTAAATTTTGTAACTTTATCAAGTATTTTACAAAATGATACATGGATTAATCAAAGGATACTGAAATAAGATTTGATTTATTTTATATATCAATATACGATTAAATCTGTACGATGTTTTTTTCCCTTGTTTTATCTTTTTTACTAGTAAATTGACTCTTTGGAATGTATTTAGCTGACCTTAGATAAATTAGATGTAGAGTCTCAGTTATGGCTGGTTCACTCATTTCATTCATTCCAAGAGAATAAATGAGTTTGGGAAGTAGCAATTTACTCCTCTGTTCCAATTACAGACATTTAAACGTCATAAATCTTCCAGCTGTTAATTTTAGAAATTAGCAATGAATAGTACTTTGGTTATAAAAAAAACAAAAAAAAAAAAAACAGGAGGTTTATTTTGTGTAGGGTGACAAACGTAATTTGTGACAATAATAGACAATTTTCAATAAGCTATGAAAACATCACTCTAGAAGAAAGAACGTTATTTGACAATACTTTTTCCTTATATATGAAACTCAGTCTGATTGAAGATAAAAGTTTCTTACTGACAATTGATAATATAATTTTGATTATCATTTAATCATCAATTACTAGTATTTAAATCGTTAAGCCTATATAAAGAAATGTGAAGATGACGAACAGTAATCAAGCTCAAAAGTCCGAGTAAACATTACAGATTGTGAGCAGAGCAAACATGGACCTCTGAAAACAGAGGTGGGATCAGGTGCAGTGGCATTCAATATCTAGTACTAGTATTCATAAAATCTTGTTATATTCATTTTACAATTCCAAGAAGTTTCCCTCGTCGCAATGTGCTTTGAATAGCAATCACAAACAATTGATATTTTCTGAAAAAAGTGTGTAATTTTCTATAAGATTTTAGTACATTCTCATTATGGTCTTACTTATAGATGGAAAATATTAATATCGAATACTAGTAAATATCTATGTTTGGTTAATCATTATTGATAGTAATACATATAGTACAGGGTAGTTTTGGAGAGAGTCGGCAAATACTTCGTAGTACACATTGTACTTTACTTTCAGAAAATAATATTATTGATTTATCTTTTCATTGTTAACTTTGTTTTTCCAATTTTCATATGCAACAATCTTTACCGAGAAGTTATTTCTTTCAACCTTGAGTTCCCGGTAATCATTTTAAATTCGTAGCGCATGGAATCTCTTTGTAATATGCATAATTACCATCAAAGACTTGATTGTTTTTCCACTGCCATCAAAAGATCGTTAAAAATGGTCAGGTATAGACATCGGTTTAGGGTTGATGACAATAAAGATTATAGGGTGGATAAACTGATCTTTGAAGAAAGAAAAGGGAGGTCTGAAGTCGAGGAATTGATATTGACAAATACATAACCTTTTTGGTTTACTTCCGTTTGATTTCGAAGACCCCGTGACGTCACTGAAATCTTTAGCCGCCATTAAGTAGCTCTGTGGTCTTTCTTGGAGTCTTCTATTCGCTGGATGTTCTCTTGATAACCATCACCAAATGGTTTTCCCCTTCTTTCCGTTTGGACTTAGAACAGAATTACGGTCATGATATTTGACGTCTGAAGTCTTCATTATCGCTGAAAATAGCTAAATTGTAGTAAATCAATTTCATGTAATAAATTTAAAAAGAGCAATATATTGTACTAGACACATCAGAGAGAAGCATCAATTTCAGGGGGGAAATAAGGAATATCTTTCATGAAGTTCCTTAAAAGTTTTTGTTTTATCAATATATGGCAATATAAAGTGTGTTTTAAGGACAATATTTTTAAAGTATCTGGAAGTAAATTGTGCTCATTTGTTTTCATTATCAATGCTCATTCATCTCGGTAGCTGATTCACTGTTACAGCAAAGTACACCTTATAAATCATAGACCTAGAAATAGAGGCTGAATCTGATGGAACTATTTTTAGTCATTTTATTCATACTCTTATGCATTGCTACTGTTGATCACCAAAGACGATTTACTGATTTATATCGTAACAGTTATTAAACTATTTATATTATATAAGCTTCATTCAAAAAAATTTATAAATGTGTTGTATATGTCTCTACATGTATTGAGCAAAGTACTGTCCTCTAAATATCGCTGGTTTTGTCATCAATGGTACGAAAGCCCAGAAGGCTCATTCGAGATTCGAGTTTCGAAATACGAGATTCGAAATTCGATATTCGAAATTCGAGTTTCGAGATTCAAGATCCAAACTAACCAATCAAAAGGCGGATTCAATATTTGATTACTTCCCTTTATTAAGTTTTTACTATCAAGAAATCACTGAATATATTTATAACAAGTGGGTCATCTGCTTAAATAATAATGCAAGAAAAAATGTAATATGTATCAAAACAAAATGAAAATAAATATTGGGTAACGTTTTGAAATATATATATAAAATCTTATTTTCCTAATTAAACAAAACAATAAATACATCTATAGAATTTATATAGTCTTATAGTTGAATTGCGAAATTAGTAGGTCGATAAATTATTTAATTAGCACATGGATGAGTGAGAAAATTATTATTGATATGAAATACTAAGGATCGTCTTTACACTGAACAGTAATTTAATTAAGGATACATTTCATTTCATTTCATTCATGCACTTTTAAGGGTGCATTTGTGCAGTTAGACTGATCTACTATTTGATATGGAATAAAATAAATTCCAGTCTGTATTGTAGATATAATTTTTAATTAATTCAAGTATTCAAAGCCTTAGACCAAGATAAGTAATTGAAAACTTATTTTTTATGTATTTCTCCTATTGGGAAACAGTGGTGTATAATCCCTTCTGCTAATGTGTAAGCTAATGTGAAGTCCCATATTTCACCTAAAGCGCATCATTGCCGAGTTGCGGATAGGCTAGGAGGGAGTCGCCCCCTCTCAATAGAGGGGGGGGGGGGGGGGTTCGGATTACCACTTTCTGAGATCTTGGAGACATGTATCATTGTCATTTTTCAAGTGAATATAATTATAAATCAGTTCAAAATATTTTTATGATAAAGAAATTAAAATCTTCAAGACCACTCATAATAAAATTGAGAAATTTTAAAATCCTTACACAGTACTTGGAAATTATGGAAACTTCTTTATTGAATAATCTAAATATAATTTTTAAAATGTTTTATGTTTGACTTCCTACTAACCCAAACATATTTCCTATTAATTTCTATTCCCTGTCCTAATCGTAGACTCATGTTGCAATCATTATTTAATAGCTGATATATATCGACTTCAAGGTAACATTTCAATTTTAGATTTAACCAGCTATAAAAAATCAAAAGTTGTATATAAAAATTGGATAGGCATAAAAGTGTGGATCGCTAAAAATACTTTTATTGCATTTGATGAAAAAATATTCTAGTAACTGGTAAATGAATAAGATTTATGACCAACTTTACCCAATTATTTCAACCAAATACATATATAAATAAATATTTTTTTACATCAAGAAAATGATGTATAGGCTACAGCCTTTTCGCCTATATGGAATCTACACCACTGGGAAAGCGAACGCGATTTTTCTTTATCACTACTACGATGTCTTCAAGATTTCCTGTGTACACTAAAAGGCATACATGAACTAAGTAATTTTAATACGTACTGCTTTAGGCTATACGATTTTTTCAAAGTCCTAAAGGTGTATAGAGGGATTATTGCTTTGTTAAAATAATTAATTTTTTATCATTATCAAATACTTTTATATCTTTTTTTCTCTATGGCCATTACATCATGTATTGAAACTTGTGTATTGATTGGTTATGTATCTTGCGGGACCCGAGCAGTTTCCTTATAAATAATTATCGAATACATGTATATAATTATTTTACCCATGCATCGCAAGATTGACACTGAATTTTTATAACCGAACATTTGTCTACCGTTGTAATAAGATAAACAACATAGCCATCGGACCCTGGGCACGTGTCTCTACCCCCCTCCCCCCCCCCCACACACACACATCCCCCTTATGTTTTTCACCGATATAATATACTATAAAAATATGCAACTTTATGTTTGTGTCCTTTCAAAACAACGTCTAATAATCGTGATAACCCCCTGTTGCTTTTGGAGGGGGGGGGGGGGGGGGGGGGCTTTACAGTGATTTTTAACCGGGCTCATTGCTCGTAGAGCAATAGCCGGCTTTTTTTATGATTATTTCCTATGGGCCTAAACAAAGAGAAATCATTACTTTTATTAAGCATGTATATTTCAGCCATCCGTACTTAAGGAGCTGTCTCTTGGTTTCACAAACTTGGTCACTGGTCACTTTCTAATACCTTGTCACAAACTATATCCATTTTGAAACCCATATTGGTCACTTGTCACTTTCTTATACCTTGTCACAAACTATATCCACCTTGAAACCCGTATTACTAATTATTATTAATCGCTAGTCACTTGTTTTATTGCACACTTAACTTTGAAACCCTTATAGTCACTGGTCACTTTCTAATACCTTGTCACAAACTATATCCACTTTGAAACCCGTATTACTATTTATTATTTAATAATCGCTAGTCACTTCTTTTATTCTCATCGACTACAATCCCCCCCCCCCCTTGCTCTTTGAATCCGATTAACAATATTTATTATATTGACATATAACCTATAAACAAAGTAGATAATACGGTTTAAATATTCTTGATATAAATCTATTATAATATTTAAGAAGTTATAATAAATTTCAGCATATTTTGCAGACCAAAAACCAATATTTTTTTCTAATTTCGTTTTGATAGATATAACACTCTTTCTTGCATTGTAATATAATCAAATGACCTCTTCGGTTTAAATATATTCAACGATTTCTAGAAGGTCAAAACTTAGTAAAGGGGAGTAATTGAATTTTAAACCGCCTTTTGATTGGTTAGTTTGGATCTTGAATCTCGAAACTCGAATTTCGAATATCGAATTTCGAATCTCGTATTTCGAAACTCGAATCTCGAATGAGCCTTCTGGGCTTTCGTACAATGGTGCTTTAGCTACTGTGCTTAGATATTACTGGTTCTGTCAAAAACCGTGCATTAGCTACTGTGCAGTAAATATTACTGGTTCTGTCAACAATCGTGCATGTTTGTAACATTTTTTTTTCTTTTCATTTCCAGAGATCTAATGACAGTTGACGAATTAACGACGAATATATTAAATAGTGAAGAATTAGCCAGGGCGGTAGTGAAGAAATTTATAGATCTTGACGGTAGGCATTCTCTCTCTCTCTCTCTCTCTCTCTCTCTCTCTCTCTCTCTCTCTCTCTCTGAATGTGTAAGTCGATTTGAGTAGTCGAGTATAATTGAGAGAAATTGAAATGTTTTTTTTTTTCTTTGATTTTAGGAGATGGGATCATTTCTACCACAGAGCTATTGCGACCCACTAGCTAATTGCTATACCTGATATCAAAGGGGGTTACTAATAGTAATCTGTTTTAGCAATACAATGCAGCTAGACATTATAAGCTGACAAAGTCAACATGCAAAAAACATATCTCGCAACATTGAAAACATGGACGTAGGAAAAAGCTAGGAAAGTGTGTTATTTGATTTTTGTAAAATTTCATATAATTTAAATCTGTTATAATTACAATTTATTCCATTTTATTTGTGTCTAAGGACATTTTAACTTTGACCAAAATAATGTTCTTCCTTATCATTAATTGTGAAACATGTGTTTAGTAATTGGAGTTGTAAAATCTCTTTAATGCGATAATACGGTCCCATTGTCAATTCGCATTTCAAAGAGGGTTTCATATACATGTACTTACGTTGATTAATTCATATTTTGCCATTCATATCGTCTCTGTTAGCTATGATGTGTAATAAACTGCAGATAAATGTCCCTATCTTTCTTTTCATTTCCAAATTAAGAGATTGCGATTCTTTATAATTACTTTACAACCGGAAATTAATTTCATGGTCTTATAATCTGATTCTATGATTTTCTTTTGTATTGTAAAAAAGAATATACCAATGTGAAATTCAAAGAAGTTTTCGGATATACGATATTTTGAACCGAGATACAGAGATATATGTATGATCGACCTGGACAAAAGTAAATAGAATATTGATGATAAAAACTCGTTTACGTTGGAAACCATCCTAATCTTATGTAGACTTCAAAATCCGTTCTAAATAAATTCTTCAACATATTTTATATATATATATATATATATATATATATATATATATATATATATATATATATATATATATATATATATATATATATATATATATATATATATATATATATAAAACACATTTAACAACAACTCTTAAACTAACATAAATGCCTAAGTGAAGAAATATTAATATAGAGAGCACAAAGAAATTCACTTTATAAGGATACCCACTCTCCGCCCAAACCCGGGTTTGAGCTCTCGACCAACGGAATCTGCCTTATAGCAGTACAGGAACAGTGCGTTAGGCCGCTTGGCCATATAGGTAAGTCAAACACTTGCTTTAGATGCCGATGGAATTATCTCGCTGGGCCGCACTACACTACACGTTCATTGAGAACGGAAGTGAGATACAGTTATTTGGACATTAGTTTTATTATCTCACTTTCATTTTCACTGTATCTCACATCCATTCTCAATTCATTTTATAGTAGATTTTGTTTCAGAAAACACAGAGCACAAACTATCTACCAAATCTCTATATTTCATGTACTAGTATCAGAAGCAGAATTTATTTTAAAAAAACGTTTACGTAAGAAGAAGAAAACACTTTCTGAGGCCTTCAACTCGGCATTTAGATACTAGAATATGGACGACGTATTATCAATTAGTAATAGTTACTTCCATTCATATGTTGACTTGATATATCCTAGTTAACTTGAAATAAAGGAGGCCACAAAGTCTGCCACATCTGTTTCGTATTTGGATGGTTTATTGACTATAGACGATAAGGGCCAACGAACAACTCAACTGTATGACAAACGAGATGACTTCAGCTTTTCCATTTTCAACTTTCCTTATTGACATAGTAATATCCCACTACCAACTACATATGGTGTTTACATCTCCCATTTGATTCGATATTCATGAGCTTGCTCTGAGTATGATCAATTTTTAATCCGAGGCAGGCTACTTACAGATACGTTGATGATACAGAGATTTCAACAACCTTGTTTAAAGTCAACAGTTCGTCAATTCTATGGTCGTTATCATGACCTTATTAGCAAATATAACCTAGCAATGGGTCGTATTTCGGCTAACGTGTTTAATACCAATTGTTAGGTCTTTGTTGTTATACTGAATTTGACGACGGGATGTTCCACCTACCTGATCAATACGTAAGGCTCACGGTGGGTGTCACCGGTCAACAGGGGATGCTTACTTCTCTTAGGCACCTGATAAATCTCTGGAATTTCCAGGTGTTGGTGTTTTTATGCCCTGTTCACAGATTTACATTGTTTATAGATGTTTTTTAGATCGATCACTATTCGCTATAGTCACCTTTCTCATGTATCTCAGATAGGCAAGGTTTTGCTTTATGTTTCCCAAGGGGACAAGTATATCAAATTTGACGAAATTCCATTTGAGAGGAAATTAGGTTAAATGCCCTACTTTGTCACGCTTTTGTGGCCCTTTTGTATATCCAGAATCTAAATACGTTTTTAAATAAGCACCATTTGAGGTTCGAATTTGCAAACTGTCAAAATTTTACTTCTGTTTTGATATTCATATCGAATAAGGTGCCAACATTGGTCGTTACAATACCTTTTCCTTTACAGAAATAGCATATTAACTGTTTGAAAATCAATCGCAAAATAAATATGGTAATACATGTATTTTATGAATGAAAGGGTTGAAACCTCTTCGTAATATGTAAAGTGTTGGTGAAACAACTTTTCCTTGTCTCCAACCATGCATCACAATTTAATCAGTCTTAATCGATAAATTTCATTTATTTATTATATGAACTCAAATATTTATTTTAGGTTTAATTTTCTCTATTATATATATATATATATATATATATATATATATATATATATATATATATATATATATATATATATATATATATATATATATATATGTATGTATATATATATATATATATATATATATATATATATATATATATATATATATATATATATATATATATATATATATATATATATATATATATATATATATATATATATATATATATTAGGGATGTCAAATCGGTCAATTTTTGATAATCGGTTACTCGGACGTCTTTCCGATCGAGTACCCGGGTACTCGGTAAAAATGAAAATACAAGACAATATGTTAATTTTCTTGAGCCCGGTAAAGCTCTGTTAAATCCCAAAGCTGTTTTATCACGTTTATAAATGTATATAAACAAATGAGTCAAAGGGAAATGATTTTTTGGTACCAAATTTATTTATCAAATAAACTCAAAAGACACAATTAATACATAAAAAAAATAAAAATGGTTTACAGTTCTTGTTTAGGACCTATTTCATCAACGCAAAAGGACAATCTGTTCTAAAGGCAGTTTTGTGATGTTAGACAAACGAAAGAGAAGGAGAAAGACGTTGTTGAGATCGCTAATCTAATTATTTCATAATTTGGTTGTTTCCCACTAAACCCACTACGCAAACAGACTTTCAATTTTTTTAAAAATCTTTAGTTATTTCTAAATATTTCTTCACTTTTGAAGTGGATAGAGGTATTTCTATGCATGTCCGATTTCGCTACCATATATTAATTAAATAATTTAAAAACGATTTGGCTATAATAGACTATACTTAAACGATGTTTACTGAAAACAATCATTGAAGCCATCCAAAAATTAAGGACCACAATAGGTGAGAACTGCTGTGTACCAGATGATTGGTCACTAATTACTGTATATAAACAAACACAGGCGATAACAGGTGTTTTACAGGTGTAGATGACGACACGCTAACTACCATATGAATATTTAAGTAATTTTTTGATAAAAAATATGTACTTTGAAATAAGAAAAAAATATAAACTTCCGAGTAACCGAGTACCATTTTTAGTATTCGATACTCGGACGTTCGATCGAGTACCCGGTTAACCGGGTACTCGTTGACATCCCTAATATATATATATATATATATATATATATATATATATATATATATATATATATATATATATATATATATATATATATATATATATATATATATATATATATAGGATCTCCCATGATTTGTAGTTGGATATGATTTTTATCCAACGAGTTGTGTGTTTTTTATCCCCGAGCCTTGGCGAGGGGATAAAAAACACAACGAGTTGGATAAAAGTCATATCCAACTACAAATCATGGGAGATTCTTTTTATCCCATGTTTGATACTTCACAACCAATGTTTTACACTGTTTTATATAGGACTCCACTTTATTTTACTTCATCGCGCTAACGCAAAAACCATTGTGACGTCACAACTGTGGATTATGAAAAAATTATCCAATGAGTCATATCCACGGGATAAAGGGGTAAACATGGGATATATATATATATATATATATATATATATATATATATATATATATATATATATATATATATATATATATATATATATATATATATATATATATATATATATATTAAGAAGAAAAAAAATATGTTGTTCATAAGATACTTGGGTTGTGCAGGTTTCATTTTCCAATATTCTGTGAAGGCCAATCAACATCTCATTCATGAAGGTATAAGTATTCAGGAAATGAAGTCTACGACTCTGAATTCATATACTTTTTGGAACATTCCTACGGAAGCCAGTTCAGAGAAAGAAATATTTTTATTAATTAATAATCATTGCGTTTAAACGCAAAAGATTGTGATTAATCGCAATGTATATTGCGTTTAAACGCAAAACACTTTGCGTTTAAACGCAAAAGATTGCGATTAAACGCGATCTTTTGCGTTTAAACGCAATACTTTTAAGAAATAATTAACAAGTTTAAAAACTTCTCTGGGAAATGAAGTGGGTCGGTCACGTGATCAAATCCTGTGAAGGCCAAAGGCCTTCTCAGAAGATTTGATCACGAACCGACCCACTTCATTTCCCAGTGAAGTTTTTAAACTTGTTATTTATTACTTATATATACGATGGACAATAGAATATAATCGAATATAAATATTGCACTAACTGTTCATCGTAGATTTTGACAAATTACGCAAGGTTTAAATCGGCTTGAAAAGCGGTTAAGCTTCAAATTCATCTGGCAAAGGATTCTGTTTTGAAGGGAATATTCTGTGAAAGACTACTTGTGATCAGTTATAGTGAGCATATTGGTGTCTGGGAATTTTTGTATTCATGAGAACCCATATTCGATGTTTAAAAAACACAAGAAACACGTACGATTTTTGATAATAAAAAGTTGGAGGAATTTCGGTCGAAAAGGGATGGATGGGGACACTTTTCCGGACCATTTAACTTGAAATCAAGTATAAAATTTGATCAGAAACCTAAAATCTACGATTTCAGTAAGGCATATTTATTATGATGTTGACACGGAGACATCTTACATTGTTAAGACAACGATCTCGATGATGAAGGTGTGCCTACCGAACTTCCGAAGTGCAGTGTTTGTCAGCTGTTTGTGGCGTGATTGCATTACATTGATATTTTCCAACAGAATTTACTGTGAGTAAAGTTTAATGGAAAAAAAAATATAGCACTCAGAGGTCTACAAGAAAATAAGGGTAAACACTGAAACTATGCAGCTCAGACATGAAACTTATAACACGTAGTTTTCTATTCTCTATGTAAAATCGATCAAGAACTGTATTGAATACTCGTTTACATTGTAAATAAAATGATTATTATTTTATTTGCGTATTTTGTACATTTTTATGCATGA